TGGTTCGAGTCCCGCACAGTGTCCATGTTTTTGGGTATCGCGTTGAACCGCGTTGAACAGAGTTCAATGTTGAACAACGGATAAACGTTGATCGAACGTTGTTTGCCCCGAGCATCAATTCATCAGTGATAAAACCGTGTTCAAACGCGCCCTGTGCAGTGTGAACGCTCGCGGTGCACCAATATACCTGCCCTCAGACTGTTTAAACTGAACAAAGTTTAAAACCTGATTTGCATTGCAAAGCACATTGCACTGGTTGAACATTTCGAATAATTGGCCGAAAGAATTGATGAATTTTGTTTTTCGTCCTCCCAAACTTTAGTGCCGTGGTTACTTCATTCAGGGAGCAGTGCATAATATCAAACTCAACACACTTCAAACACACGTCAACGTTCCGGTTATTCGTTCACTTCAATGGATTTACCTCAACGAGTTTCAGGGTTCAGGTTTGTTGAACGAGACCAGGTTCGCTGACACAAATCAGGCTTGAATCAGGCTCCTTTACAAGCTAGGCAGCCACCTGATAGCACATGGAGTGCGCCTGCCATTAATAAGCCATAGCAAACGCTTCAAGCAGGAGGTCTCCGTTCGATTCGGGGTTGGGCGATGAGCAGTTGCGACTTCGTTTTTACCGGCGCGCTACGTTGAACTGCTCCGATGTTCTATCTGGCATTGTATGGCGCTCATGTGTCAACAACAACGACACCGTGAAACAATCGATTTCGTCACAGTGAGGTCGGTGAAACTCAAAGTCATCCACCCGCCCGACAGCACATGCGTGCGCCTGCTGATCATCCGCAAGCATTGATAATTTTGAAGCTAGAGGTCCCCGTTCGTTTGGGGGTCGGCTGAGTAAAGAAGAACAGCATTGCCTCTTTTTCTTTCTCCCGCTGATCCTTATCTCCTCCGAGTCAGATCTTGAATTCAACCTGTTTAGTTCAAGTTCAGTGTCTGCGAAATACCCGTGTCACATCATCGTGGTTCAAATGGAAAACTCGTAAGCTCACCTCTGTGAGTTTCCGATTCTTCAATCGTGCGCTTTGCTGTTGAACAAGCCGCGTCCTTCAATGCCTGGGATAATCTCTGTCTGGTGGGCGGTTGCTGGGAAGTGGCAAGAAGAATAAGCGGTGGCCCCCGCCCGACTCGAATAAGCTGCCTGCTGCATCGCGGCCGCAGGGGGGATTTTAATTAATGCAGGTGCACCCCCCCGCATCCGGGCCTTCTGCATACAACCTCCCTGTATTTCACCGAATCAACGCATCGTTACACAGCGACAGCGGAAGGTCGACTACACTTGCCTCGATACAGGCCAAGGATTTGCACAACTTCGGGCAACGACTGGAAGGTGATTTAGGAAGGATAGGAACACGGAGACAGAGATAAAAAAATCGACGCGGCGTTCACCTTTATGGCCCAGCCTCGAGTCGAACGAGCTCCCCGCTGAACGGTGTGACGTTGAAGCTAATCGAACGCAGGTGCGCACCCGCGCTTCCGAGCCGTTGTCTGCCTAATTTCACCCTCATTTGAGCTTCATTGTGCTTCAATCAAATGATTCGGAGCGCAGTCTTTTCGTCCTGACTTGACACCCCGGTAGCCTGCGAGTGCGCGTGGGATAACTCGAATGGCACTCACATAATGTTTGGTGTGAATGCGTGAATGGTGGTTGTTAATCCCGTACTGCCCTGTAGCAACCAAAAAAAACCATTCCTCGTACCAGCCAGCCAGTGGCTCGGGCTCGAGTCGAACGAGCCGCCTGCCTGGAATTCGATAACAATCTCATTCACTGGGTGCGGGTACGCACCGGCTTTCGGGCCTTTCCTGGTCTGAGTCAAAAGCTCACTGCGGACGTTCAGTCCCAGTCTAGCAAAGTTAATATGAGAGCGACAGGAAAAGTTTATGGGGTAAAAGTTGGGCAGGACAGACAAAAAACAGGATCTTAAAGACTAATGCCAGGGCTCGAGTCGAACGAGCTGCCTGCTGCACATGTGCAGAGGGGCAATTGAGTGCAGGTGCGCCCAACGCATCCAGACAGTTCCTGTTTTGAATCTTACCTGCCTGCATCGCAAACGACGTCGACATCGACTCGCTGCTCGTCGTCAGATGCAGCAGCGCCTACTACCGCGGATGACAGTGCATGCGTATATAGGCAGAAGGGCCAGGTATTGCTTGTGTGTGGATAAATGAGAAAGACGGCTGAAAGAAAAGAGAAAAAAAGACAAATGGTACTGGAAACACGGCGCGGCCTCGAGTCGCACGAGCTCCGACTCGGAGTCGGATTCTTGACACTTTCCAGGTGTACGTACTACGGGATGCAGGTGCGCACCGCGCCTCCAGGCCTGTTTTTGTTGCGCTATATCAGGTTGACTTCGGTTTCGATGGAGAGAGAACTGCTCGGGCGGGGGGAGATCTCAGTCTGGTTTGAGGTGCGAGATGGTAAGAGGGAAAGGTAAGGAAAGGCAGCGTGCGAATCGGATCACTCCGAAGCAATCGATCAGCGTGCCGTAACTGCCCGTTCCTCTAAGCTCTTCCAAAGCTCTTCCCGCCAACGCCGCGCGACTCCGTCCGTCAACTCCTCCATCCACCAGCGAAGCATATCAAGAACACCTGAGGCTGCCGCTATGGGAGCAAGAGATGGAAAAGATTCAAAGGGCTGGTTCCTCGAGGCTCGGACGCCGCGGCAGTTATAAAAGATCGACATGGTTTGGACAATGGACATTGCAGAGTGCAAAAAAACTCGGTGGTTCGATGATATGGACGCTAGGCTGAGACTGACTCGCACTTGTCCTCGCCACGCACCAATACCACTGGTACTGTGCCTTTACCGCGTGCTGCGACATTTGGATCTTCAGCGCCTCCCCGCGCCACGCGCGTCCTTATGCCGCTCAACACCGCTGTATTCCACTGGTGTCCTCCCTATCGACTTCCCCGGGCATGTTGCGCATCCGGCGTCGTCATCAGCATTGGAGCCACAACGTACCGTTTGAATTCTCTGCCGCTGAATTGGGCTGGGCCGCGTACTGGTATGCCCCGGCCCTCAACCTCTCCCCCGTCCAGTCACGTCGTCTGGTGCTCTATCTGCTTCCTCACTATGCTGATGACAAGCACAAGCACGTCCGCCTCGGGCCGATACCCATCTCCCTGCCCCTTTACACTGCATCCGCCTCAATCATTGTGGACGCCAAGAACGAGCCCGGACTCAACAGAGGCGCGGCTGCGAGTGGGCCAACAGAGTATGTTGAGGTACGCGTTGCGTTTCATCCAAGTTTCTCCGATTGTCGGCCTCAACGTCCAACCCTGTACCCCCTCTCCCCCGACCCCCGTCCCTGCGTCCCGTTTCTCCCGGTTCCCCGCGGCCCTCAGCATCCCAGCGTGTCCTTCTGTTCTTCTGTCCCGGCTGCCTTCCCTCCCCGTCCATCCCGTCTTCGTCTTTTCGTCTTTTCCCTGTCGTTCTACGGCTGTACTGACTATTTTGTGGATGTTTGTTCATCCGGTGCGATTGCGGCAAACCCAGGGACTATCGCCAAACCCAGGGACTATTGGGAGGTGCGCTTGTATCTGTCTTTATTTCCCTTGTTCTCACCACACCCGTCGACTTGCGCGAAGCCCTACCCTTTCTTCCCACATTCATCCCTCCCCTTTTACATATCTCCCCTTCCTCCCCCTCGCGGTATTTCCGTACCTTACCCCCGCGCTCCGCACTCCCACGCCTCTCACTTCTCGTCCCCACTTCGTCCTTCTCTTCCTTCTTTGCTTCCGTTCCGCCACAGCGCGAGCTTGAACTGATAATTCTGTCAGCTGCTCTCAATGCTCGCGGCTCTTCGACGACCTTGCGAGGCTGTGTATCTCCGTGTTTGATTTTGCAACTACGCAACTACGCATCTCCGTGTCCAGCTGGTATACGACTTGAACACGACTGCACTATCCCTCGCCTTCAAGCGCACTCGTCCGTTTCCCTCCGCTGGATTTTGCTTTCACAAATGCGCTCATCGTCAAACTCGTCGTGCCTTTTCCCCCGCTCGCGCCGTCTCTGCCGAATCCAATAACTCTGACAGCTGCTCTTAACGCTCGTGGCTCTTCGATCTTGCAAGACTAGCGGCTCTCCGATTTTGAAAGACTACGCATCTCCGTATTCTGGTACTCCATCCGTTATACGACTGCACCTGTTATATGATTATGCCTTGCCATCAACCGTCCATTCGCCTCCGAGGTCCCAGTCTTTCCTGCTTCCTGCATCCTGCGCAAACCGTCCCTTGGAGCTTCCCACGTCCCTCCCACTGAATCAGACGCCGCTGTATTTTTGGGAATCACACCAAAATGCTCACAGCAGCAGGTCTCTGTTCGATTGGGGTGCGGGTGATACTATACTCTTGCGATCCGTGTTCTTTCGTCGCCCTTCACCGGTCGTTGACCGACGATTGCAGCTGCGTTGTGCCTGGGTCCATCAACTCAAGCGAATTCGTCTTTCTCCGAGCAACGCATTGCACGCTGCGCAAAGCTATACAAGCACCCGACAGCATACGGAGTGCGCCTGCTAATCGTTGATTGCTATTGCCACGCCGGAGTTCACAACAGGAAGTGCCCGTTCGATCCGGGGTCGGAATGATTTATTCGATCCGGGGTCGGGAGATAAATCATTTCGACTAGTCCTTTTTCTCTCTTGGATTCCCCTCGTCCTCTCATCTCTTCAGATTTAGAACTCGACTCAAAGATGCAATTTTTGGGTTCACCGTGCGTCAGTTTCCAACCCCGTTGAACGATATCGTACACTCGAACTGGAACTGGCACTAATTCACAAAATCACCCGATAGCACGGGCTGCGACTGCTAAAGCTTGGTTTATTACGCACGGAGGTCTCAGGGTCGATTGATATCTGACATCTGTGGTCCTTTAAAATTTTTACCCCGGTTTCAGCGCGTTGGTTGCGAAGGCAGCGAGTTCAAAGAGAGGCGCGGGGACAAAAGAGAGGTGAGGGCGAAAAAAGAGAGGTGAGGGCGAAAAAATCCTTCTCAGCTGGATCGAACAGCTGACACCCAGATAACAGTAACCAATTACAGTCTGATGCTCTACCAACTGAGCTAGAGAAGGATGACCAAAGGCCCAAAATCCGTACCCTCAACGCGATGGCCCTGATCACAGATTAGCCCACCTTCAGCCGAACATAAATACGGGGAAAGTCTATCCCGTCCGTCTCGCCCTCTTTGGTTGCCACGACCAGCCACGACCGGATTTCAATTGCTGGTAACATAGCCGCTAGCGTCCTTCCTCTCCGCACCTTCGATGTTCGAAGCTGCGCGGTTTTTGGCCAAAATATCGTTCGTACGTTTCCCATCCGTCTACAACACGCCCCACACACTATCCTCTTCGCCTTCATTCAAAATTGTTATCTCAAGCGCCTTCTAAATGGACGGAAATTTGGGTAGCCTGTTTCACACGATAAATTACACCCTGGCCAGTGATGACTCCTAGCTTATCTCATCAAAATGTGAAACCCGAACGGGATTAGACTCGGTGCCAGTCTCTACGTTGAGCAACAATCCTAGGAGTAGTTTGCAACAGAAATTAAGACAAACGGGCAAAAACTGAGAGAGAAAAGAAAAAGTGGCGGCAGGGTTGCTCGAACGTAGAGAGTAACCCTGCGCGCGTTTTTTTTTTCTCTCCCGATTTTGCTCCGATACCCTTGAAATAACTTGCATACCACTACTAGGATTGTTACTCAACATAGAGACTGGTTACGAGTCTATCGATCGTGCAGGCTGATGCAATTCAATCATCTTCGCCGACAAGATACGCGCGCGCCATGAAATCAAGACCCTGCTTTTCATACCACAGAGCTGGTTCAGCCGTTGTGGGTCCCATACGTTAATACAATCGAACATGATCTGATGGGCAGCTGAACGCCGTGACGCCTGAAACCCGCAATCGCCTGTCTGTGGGGCTCCGTGGGTGACATACAAGGCCGCCTGTCTCTTTCGCTTTCTTCTCTCTTCGTATTGCACTTTATCGCAGTGCGCCTCCCTGCTTTGTAGCTATGACGGACTTCACCTCCCCGATGCTTTCTATTCCATACTTCCCGGATGATTTGACGCTTCCTCAGTCCTTTTCGACTACGAGCATCCCCTACGTCTCCAGCACAATCTCGGTCATCCGTGGATGGTCGATTCGGTTACAGGAAGATCCCGCGTCCAAGTCGAGGTTCGTGTCAATTTCATCTGGAAAACAATGCGTATTCTAACATGTGGTAGCTCAAAGAGCGCGTTTGGAATCTGGCCAACGGGTTAAATCGCCGATTCTCGATCGGTAAGTCTCCGCGTTGGTACTCCGCTGCCGTGACCAATCTTACTCCAAAAAAGGTGCAAGTGATACTGGCAAGTCTTCCGTGTCTGGCTGGCTTTTGCTCATCGTAACTCGTAGTCGGACTTGTCACTGGAAATCACCTCGGTATGTATAAATTCTACCATCTGTTGTGACTGAGCTTCACTTGCGCCAGATTTTCCTGTGGCGATCTGGGCCGCGCATAGACTAGGGGCTTCCGTATTGTGCGTGAAGTTTTTTGGTCCACGGGGAAATCACCAACGCGGACAGCACCGTCAATCCCGCGTTCACGGTGGACGAACTTATGCCATCTCTGGCCGATATGAAACCTTCTCTTCTCATCGTCGAGCCTGCTGCCCTTCAGAATGTCCTCAAGGCCGCATCGCAGACCAACATCTCAGCTGATCGAATTGTTCTTGTCACTCTCACTGACGATCTGGAGTCCCTGGGACACGAGTTCCTTACACTCGAGGACCTTGTTGAATTCGGGCAGTCCAAGAAACACGAACACCAGTTCAATGAATTCAAGTTGAAACCGGGAGAAGGCAAAACCAAGGTCGCGCTGTACTTCCCGTCGAGTGGAACCACTGGCTTGCCCAAGATGGTCGCAATCCCTCATGCGGCGTTCATATCGAATATCATCCAGACTGCTGCTCACGATGCTGGGATTGACATGTCTGTTCCGGTAGCTGACCGTCGGTTCAAGCCCGGGAATGTGTCGTGCTTGAGTGAGCTTTGCTTTGTTGTTCTTCTGATTTCAACCATAATAATGACCTCTCACCCCAGTGTTGCCAATGTTCCGTATGTGTTCATATACTCAACTTGTGCGCTTTGGTAACCAGTGCAATGGATCAGATATCTTTGGGCTTCTTATAAATGTGAATCTCCCTTTCGACTTCGTCGGCGATTCTTGCTGATACTTATCCAGCTGCATTACATGCTATTCTCCGGAGTATCTTTTCACTATATCCTATGGCATGTTTCAAACTTATGCGTTCGTGGCAGGTGACCGTCGTGATAATGCCCAAGTTTGATTTCGTCGAGTATCTGGCCACGATCGAGACGTATAGAATCACTAATCTGTCGTATGTGTCCGCAATTTCGTCTTTGAGAGATATTCAACCACAATCTAGATTGGTGCCGCCCATTCTGACACTGTTCTGCAAGGTATCTCTACCTCTGAGTGGCTTGACCGTAATAGGCGGCGCCTAACTCATCCATAGCATCCCGCCATGAAGGATGCTGATTTATCAAGTCTTCGGGTCATCTTTGTAGGTGGCGCGCCGGTCAGCGTCCATCTGGCGGAGGCTATGGGAGAAATTGTACCGCAGGCCGTGGTTGAGCAGGGATACGGTATCTACCATCGATTGCATTCATTGATTGAGCTGACCACTGTTTCGAGGCATGACGGAACTGACCGGAATCTTAACTATGCCGCCCTTGCATCGACGGGTGGCCACGGAGGCTGTCGGTCATTCGTTGCCCGGATGCACTGCTCGTGTGGTGAAGCCTGACGGATCGCTGGCGGGAGTTGGCGAAACCGGCGAGCTCTATGTCGCCGGCCCGTCTCTGGCGACCCACTACGTGAATAATGAACAACTGTGAGTCGCAACCCAAAAATTTGGGACCCGATGAGTATTGATCCCTGGCAGTTCCAACGCCACATTTGTCGATGGGTGAGTGATAATGCGACTCATAATCACTAACTGACCTGCTGCCAGATGGGTCCGTACTGGCGACGAGGTGTACTTTGACGAAGATCAAGAGCTCCATATCGTAGACCGCATCAAGGTTTCAAAGCAGCACATCTTACACTCTTTTTCTTACCCTGTGCAGGACTTCATTAAAGTTGGAGGGTACCAAGTAGCTCCAGCCGAGCTTGAAGCTCATCTTGTAGCCAATCCGAACATCGCCGACTGCTGCGTCGTCGGGGTTCCCCACGAATTCAGCGGCGAAGTGCCGAAGGCGTATGCGGTCCTAAGCAAGGATGCTTGGGAGCGGATCCGCCTTGACCCTGAGGAGGGAAACAGGATAAAAATGTTCCTCATTGAGGTGCGGTCTCCAGTCGCCGAACCAGTGTTCCTGAACTATTTCCTTGTAGGATCTGGCAGCTAACAAGGCGGAGTATAAGCGGCTCCTTGGCGGCATTGAGTTTATTGACGCAATCCCGAAGACCTCGTCAGGGAAATTGCTCCGGCGTGCGCTACGCACCGTAGTTTAAAAGGTCTCGGGTCATGATATCCTCAACCCGCACGTAGTTCAATTCCAACCAGACTTTTATCGAGTGCTCGAAACACACCGGCCGGTATTGGGCCGGTAGGCCTTTCTCCCTTGCCAGCAATAAGAATCCGGTTGCGAAGAGAAAGGACGCCTGTGCACCGAGTGCCTGTGCGCCGAGTGCCGGTGAATTATTTGCCTTGACTTTCGGCTCTCAGTGTCCAACTCGCACAGATGCCTGGTTGGATTTGGTTCATTTCGCGACTATATCGCGGCAATCTCCGAAGCACGTGTCGATTCAAACTCCGCCTGCTGTTTTCTCCTTCCGCTCACCATGTCGATTCTCGGTGCACCTGCAGCTGAAGACCTTCTCGATTATCAGACCCCCGAGGGATACCGAAGGATACGTCCCACCTACTCAGACGAAGAAGTTGCGAATGCTGGTCCCATGGTGGCTCAGTTTGCTCAAGCGGTTTCTGATGATGCAGCAAACGTGGAGGCGTCCTCCTTTTCTTGCTTATCATCTGTTCACATTTTTTGTGACAGTTGATAGAATCCTTCAAGAAATCCACCGCCACGGCTCTCTTTGTGATGGCACAAGCCTGGGAGCATTGCCCTGGCCCGACAGAGCCTATTCCGGGCCACATCCTGCTCAAGACATTCCTCCACCACGTCGATGGCGCCCAGGTTCCCATCTCTGTTCGCATCCCTTCCGAGAACGACACCTCCGAGCGAGCTTGGGCATCCTTCATGGGACTCAAGGAGAAGTTCGTTTCGCAGTTCCCCAAGAACCCTGATTTTCGCACTCGTCTTATTGCCGCCTGGCCCGGCATCTTCCAATGGTGCCAATACTTCTACCTTCAACGAGTCTTGATGGTGCAGGATTTCGACACCGCGCAGGAAAATATCGAGATCATCTGTGCCGTGGTCTGCCACTTAATCGTGGGCAAGAAGCTTTTCAAGGTGATACACGAGACAGTCAGCATTGTTACCCTCTGCACACAGCTCTGGATACACCGAGCGACACCTCCCCGCATGTCGTATATGATGCAGAAGCTGTTGTTCGACTCTACGTGGGAGGAGCTGGATGAAATTGTCGCGGCAGCGGGAGACAAGCCTCAGTTCATCGCACAACTGGCAGTCACTCGGCTGCGCACCGCCGTGAACGCGTCATCGATGCGACCCGTGCATGTCTCCACCTTTGTGTTTACCCTCCTGACACTCGCCCGCCTACCGCGCCACTGCCTTACCAGCGCCATTCTCGAGGAGAACGCATGCTGGGTCGCCACGGACCTTCTCGTCCTCATGACAAAAAAAAACAACGTACAACAGTCCTCGAGCCCGAGTACCTGGAATGTATTAATGCCGGCTTCACGTTCTTGCGCTTCGCTCTGGTGCGCGATGATAGTCCGCGGTGGGTTGCACAGGCCGTCGACGCTGGCGTCCTGCGTGTCATCTGTGAACTCGCGCCTCTGCTGGAAGAAAAGCTGCATCGGTTTTGTAGAGAATGCGTACGCCACATCATACGCGACACTCTTCCGAAGCACATGGTATAC